GCAACTTTTGCCTCTGCCAGATTGATGTGTTTGTTGCATCACCAGAAAAGAAGGTAGCTCCGACATTGAAGGATTGGAAAACATCCCTTTGGTGTGCTGATATTGGTAAGGGTAAGCCACAGTCGATTGCAATTGCTTCATCTTGGGAACGTACACGACCATCCAGAACAAACACTGAAGCACCCACATCACTTGTTGCAACAAGAGTATCTTCATTTGGGATTGCCGCAGAATCCACACTTTGCTCACGGCGTGTGTGCACATACCGCAGGAACAAAAAAAGGAGCTCATGAAATGCACGTGACCTAGCAATCACTAAAGCCCAAGAATGCACCTCAGCTCTTGTCACAGTCCATCTCGAGGAGTCAATCAGTGCTGTCAATGGGAAACTTGCTGCCGATACCAATCCCATAGATTTGCGCACACCCAGGGCAACTGATCCACGAAAGGTAAGACGCGACCCACGCTTTTCAACATGCAAACTTTCCACCAGTTGATTAGAAGTCTTGTCGGATTTATATTTATCCTTTGATAACTGAAGTCGCATTCCCAGTCGACGTGACTTTTGTGCCGAGTTCTTTAATTTCTTTTTCAGCAAGTCTTTTTCCTGTCGTAATTTTACCACCTGCTTTCCAGCCTGAATCGCAAACCTCACAACTTCATTGTTGTTCATCCCTCGCACACGTTGTTCAAACCCAGGCCCGCTTGGAGACAACAAAAGTTGTGACAATGAACGATTTCCAGATTGGGGTTCTTGTTGAGCTTGTTCGCCACCTTGAGGAAATTGTATTGGTAGAAACCTTAATCCCGGTGTCATTTGTTCAGGCCACCTTATGAGCATACCCGGACCAGCCGCAGCACCAACATCATGATCATCCAATGATTGTTCATCGCCACCAAAACCACCACTACCACCATCACCATCGAAAAAGAAAACGTCTCTTCCACTATCATCTATTGATCCAGAGATTGACATTGACCCTGATTGAGATCCCGATCCCATTTCCATGTCAGACATACCGCTGTTCTCCATATCGGACTGCCCGCTTTCACTTTGTAATGATGCCCCAGGGATCAATGTGTCCGATGAGCTTCTATTATTACCACCACGTGAAAGATTGTTTCTTTTCTGAATCTCTTCAGACACCAGTCCATCCCACCCTACAAATATATGTGGTGTGATGCCCTTCACGAGGAATACAAAGGCTGGCAAGTTCTGTAGGTCATACATGTTGATGTTGCCGTGTTTCACAGGAACCTGACCAACGTGTTATCCAAAACTGGAGAACAACATGTGGGTGAGTGGATGTGGATATTTTTTTTGTTTCTGAAAGTACAGCTCAGAATATTGATCTTCCCAATCAAACATTTGAAACACTACCTTAGACAAAAAGGTTTGCAAACCAGATTGTTTCTGGGCCATTGGGCCAATGAAACCTTGCCTGATTCTCAAGCGCGCGTGCAACCACATAGCTACTCACATCCGGTACCACAGCTGCTAACCTACAGTGTTGTAAAAGGAAAGGGAAACTTCAAAAACAAAAAACAATGTGTCGATGTACACACCGCCGTTGACTGATTGAGGGTCTGAGGGGTGTCCCGGTTTCCATAGTTGAGTTGATTCCATAAAACAACCAATCAAATAACAAATTTGTATGCATCTTGCGTGCATGCAAGACACTGTTCAACATTCGCTACAAGCCTCATCCTGTCAGTCGACAGCCAGCTCGTTTGAAGCAACCGTCGCGCTCGGGCAGTGACATCTGCCATTGGATTTTGTAGTCACCTTTCCTGGTGACTGTGAAACTTCCTAGTAGTGATTGTGGTATGGTATACTGTTATAGTTATATTGTTATACGACGATGGTTGGTCTATTACATACCTATTATGTTATTAGTATATTAGTCTGTTAGGTCTTAGGTCTTAGGTGATGTATAATGGTATTCTGAATGCACCATTGCATCACTTCAAAACCCTGAACCTCGAAAACCTATGGCTCACATGGCCTATGACCTCATGGTGTGGAAAACACGTGGTACACAGCTATGATGATGTCGCATCTGTTTTAGTTTATAGGATTCAGGATCACAGCACGACAGCTTTGTGCTCATTCATTATGTATACAGCCGCACAGCTGCGTTGTGTTTTTTTCCTGTGCACCTGACCATTAAACAAGATGGATTGAATGCAACACACACACATACCCTTGGGACAGCGTGTGACGACTTTGGAATCATTTACTATGTTCCCCATTTTACCATATTTTACCCATGCTTTTTGGCAAATATCAACTGGACATTGAATTGTCTCGACGTAATGGATCATGCCGGACAGATCCAACCGCAAACTCGCAGGAAAATCAATCACCAGAAAACAACAACTGTGTTGTTTCAATGAGTTGTTTATATATTAAAAACGGTTAACAAGCATGCATGCACTTGTACGCATTGGTCATTCAACATAGACAACCATTCAGAACTCAGGAAGCATTTCAAAATTATTCATCCAATTGTGTTGGGTGATGGTTCATCAAAGGAAAGACAACTGGTCCACGTCCACATAATTCAAATGAATCATCCACATTCCTGGGGTGTTTGTTTTTTCTTTGTTCGGTTCAGCTGATTTGGCATGTTGGCACCTACATTGTTTCAATAAACATCTAGTAAATTCCATCACCATGTAACAAATCAACCACACATTTTGAAAATTCTAACAGTAAGTAAGTCATTGATCATATTTTGGATGGTCAATTCATAAATTAAAAAAAAGGCCACCAATAATAATGTTGAAATGTGTTATTGTTGTTTTTGAAAGGCCGATCCATACCTTTGAAACGGTCCACCAACATGTGAGGATTGGATCCCCCATTTTTTTTTCTGTTCCAACACATTATTGTCGATCAAATGCATCAGTCTTGGGTGACCTATCCAAAGAAACAATGGTCAACATATCATAGTGCTGAAGCAAAACTATGGATCCATATGTCAAAGCGTCATACCCTGTTGGAATAAATGCATATATTTCCATATGTGTTGTTGTTTTCACACACATGTTTTGTTTGGTCAGAACATAATGTGCAAATTTCAAATGGCCAGTAGACCAAAACCCCACATGCCACAAACCAAAACATATAACAACATCGTTTTTCAATACAAAGCGACTGCTCAAATCATCATGGCCCACATGCCAAAACATCCTATGCTGAGATCAAAATATGTTGTTCTCTGATCAAAAATAAATATGATAAGATCTATTTTTTGGATCTGATTTTTTTTGGTGGTGGCAGAAAATACAAACCAACTGGTCAAACCATCATGACCCACAGGTCCAAACATTATGTTCTGATCTCAAAACATCATGTTCCAATCTCAAAACGTCATATTCTGATCAAAAATAAATATGAAGACTTTTGGTTTTTATGTTGCAAATTTTCATTTTTATGACAATGGAAAAAAACATTTTGGTCAAACCACCACATACTGATGGATAAACAACATAAACCAATCTGTTTTTAATATAATTCATGCTGTTTTTTTGGTTGTTTCCTTAATGTCTTTGTATCCTTGGTTAGTCTTGGGTAGCCTTGGATGGCCCAGGGAGGGCCTAGGACGGCAAACAGGATTCCCCTGGGTTGGCTTCACCCACAGAGGTCCCAGTGCACAGCCCTAGTCCAGCACCATGGAGCATCTGGGATATAGCAATTTTCATAGACAGCGAGACTGGGATTGAGTGGGGGCTGACGATGGGATTTAGCCAGCCATGAAACTTAGAAAAACATGAGATAAAGCGCCTTTAACCAACAAAAAAAAGGACCCGGATTTAATGTTAGTTAGAATCATGATAGAATCTGTTCATCAACCAGCAAAAAAAATGACCAGTAGAAAAAATGACATATCACCAGCAACAAGTAGGTTCAAACCGAAGTATACCAAAGCTACGCTTTGTAGCAAAGATTCAGGTTGAACCCAGACTCAGTGTTGCTTCTATAAACCAAAAAGTACCGTTTTCGGCCTGATTTACCCCGATTTCTACACGGTCATCCACCAAAAACATCATACCCTCTGGTAAACAGCCACATAACTATGGAAAATGAACATGCTATTAATGGGTAAATCCACGAACTAAATCACCATTTTCAATAGCTTTTTGTATGTTGACCAGAGGGTAAATCCCATTCATATCCCATTAAATCACTATAAATCCCATTAAATCACTATAAATCCCATTAAATCACTATAAATCCATAGTTATGGTTGTTTTCGCTGGTTATGGTTGTTTTCAGCACCAGACTGAAGGATTCGTAACTAGCCATCCAATCATCTGGGGCTTCCCCGCCGGGTCGCCCCCGGCAGGGCAAGGATCTGAATGGCAAACTCGAGCCGACAGAAAAAGCGGTTTTTGGTGTCTGAAGGCACTGGACATATGGCATTTATGTGGTAAAATGTGGTAAACTGACATAGACCTTCAGCTTTGGAGTATTTATACTATGTGTATCTATTGTACCAACCAGCTCTGGTGATACTGGGGATGGTATATTGGCTTTACCATTAATTAAGGCATTTTTATCGGATCAAAAACGCAGAGTTATTGCTTGGACACCCCTTTTTCCAGGGGCCTTGCAGAAACACTGGAATTCAAGGCCTCTCTTTGTCCACATGCTTAGGGGCACTAATGAATGAGCATGTAGCAGCATGTACAATACAAAACCAATAAACATACATATGCAATAGGGTATCCTATTACTAGTTTAGTTGTTCTCAGAATTGATGATGTACTGGAGGGTACAACCCTGGAATCACTCCAAAGTTGACTCGACTGTTCTAAAGCCACCATGAAATTTCTGGTTGGTGGTTTCAACCCCTCTGAAAAATATTAGTCAGTTGGGATCATTATTCCCAACTGAATTGAAAAATAAAAAATGTTCCAAACCACCAACCAGATATATATACATATATATATATTTATGGGATATCCCCAAGATGGAACTCTCACTACCGTTTTTTTGGCACCGTATTTTTGGCACTCCGCGCGCAAACCGCAAACCGGTCACCCTGCCGTGTCTCACAGGATCTTTGTCCTGCCTGGGTGGCGAGGTGGTCATGATGCCAATGGGATCTTAAAAGGACTTAAAAGGGGATGCAATGGAATTGAATGACATTGAATTGGATTTAGTGGGATTTAGTGGGATTTAACGGGATTTAATGGGAATTTAATGGCTTTTAGTGGGATTTAGTGGGATTTAATGGGATTTAGTGGGATTTAATATGTTGTGGCATTTAATGGTATTTAGTGGGATATGAATTCGGATGAATTAGAACGTGCTGACTGCGACGTGGCTGAAATGATGCTTAGTATGTACAACTATCCCCAAATGGCCGTACTTTTCTGGTTGGTGGTTTTAACCATCTTGAAAAATATTAGCCAATGGGAAGGATTATCCCATATATTATAGAAAATTCAAAATGTTCCAAACCGCCACCCAGTTTTCCTTATTCCATGATTTTCGTTGGTTTTCTTTAAGGTTTCAGGTTAATTCTAGCCAAAGATTGAAACTTGTACAAGGTGGTGCCCCTAAACGGTATCTTTGTGGGTTTATGTTACCCACCCTGTCGCGCCAACAATTCATGTTGTTGGAGACAAATTTACACTACCCATATGCGAACCATGGTGCTGGTATATAAAAACCTACAAAGTTGGGCCATTGTTGGGGTTTCTATGTAGATAAATATTCCAGCACCATGGCGCATTTGGGGTAGGTTGTTTTCTTGGTTTTTCGTCAGCCCTCACTCGTTTGTGGTGCCAGGTCATGTTGGAGAAACCATCCTTTGTTGACCCCAGTGGCCCAGGCCCACTTGCATTCAACATAGTCCAATAATCAAAGCAACTCGGCTATGTAACATGTGTTCAATCAGTTCCAAAGTATTCTGGTTGGTGGTGCAATAACCATCTGGAAAAACAATGAGTTCGTCAATGGGAAGAATGACATCCCATATATGAAATGGAAAATAAAAAATGTATGGAACCACCAACCAGTATTTTTGTGATTGAAAAAAACAAAAAATGAAACGCTCAAACAATATTGTCATAACTACAAACACTAGGATCTGATTATATGCAAAGATGGTAACTTCAAAGATGGTAATGATTTTCAACAAAAAAATGTGTTGGAACGAACAAACACACCATATTTTTTTTGGACATGGCACCAAAACAAATGTTCTCCGAGTGCTGGAAACAACATAACCTGCATGAATTGTATTTTATGAAATCACATGATTCAAAAACTCATTTGTCCTATCTGATTGGCTTAGGCTATTTGTCTTTTTGGGGACAATCATGGACAAACCCATGCTATACAATACTACGGTCTCCTGCACAGAGTATGATGATAAACGGTGATAACAATTGCCATGCCAGGGCTCCAAAACACTGGTCTAATACCCAGCTGGAGACGGGTAGCACTCGAGTTCGAGTCTTCATTCCCTTCATTTTTTTGGGTCGATGAAGAAATACATCTTGTGAATCCCCCTTTTCCGGTGTTTCATCCTCATTTTGCTTCGTAATTTCCTAATATGTTGCTCAAAGCCACGTCGTTTACCGATCACATCCGCTTATCCGCTGCTTCAAGCCTCCAAGACTCCAATTTGCCATGAAAAACATATGAAAATTATATGTTTTGGATATCTGACCTGGTTAAACCACCAATTCTACCGCTGAAATCCCTGCTTTTTGGTTTCTCAAAACGTCGGGCCGCCGAAAACCGCAGCCTGGAGACTCATCATTAGCTCTTAACGAGCCTTCTGGCGGAGCTGTTCGTGCACCTCATCGACCTCTGTGGAGAATCTAAACACAATATCTGGGAATGTGGATCTAAAAACATGACAACACTCACTACTTTACTATACTTTACTAGTAAAATCCACTAAATATATACCCTATTGATCCAGCCGTACCTTCTGGCAAGAAGTGTTTGGGGTATGATTTAGAGGGTTAAGTAACCTCTCAGACAGTGTTTGGATCCATAGGGAATGGATATGATTAAATAATGGGATAATAATGAAACCCATCATCGTTTATATCCATTATTAATCCATTGCTAAACCAGATGTGATATCAATGGCGATGTTGAGGAAAACCATGATATGATGAGAATTTAGTTTATGAGCATGAAACTGTTAAAGTATGGGAATCAAACCCTATTAAAGATACGATCATGATATATATATATATACATAAACATACATATATACGTGTATATATATATATACACAACATGATGAATCATGATTGATAGGAAATAATGATATGTAATGTGAATTAAAATAATTAATGTGATACGTTTTTGAATTGCACTGGAATAATCTATATACCAATAGTACCGCACAATACGGCGGCGGAAGTTTCAAGGATATGAAACCTAAGGAGAGGTTGGTTGTTGCGAATCATGAAAGGCAGAGCGAGCCCCTGATGGATCGAAAGGTGGTTGGAGTGTCGGACTATCTATCTGTCTTTCTATCTATCTATATGTCTATCTGTCTATCTACCTGTCTACCTACCTGTCTTTCTATCAATTTATCTATCTATCTATCAGTCAATCTATCTATCTATCTGTCTATCTATCTCTCTCTCTATCTATCTATCTATCTGTCTATCTATCTATCTGTCTATCTATCTATCTTTCTGTATATCTATCCATCTATCTACCTATCTATCTATCTAGCTACCTATCTAGCTATCTATCTATCTATCTACCTCTCTATCTATCTATCTATCTATCTATCTATCTATCTATCTATCTAATCTATCTATCTATCTATCTATCTATGAATCTATCTATCTAATCTATCTATCTAGCTATCTATCTATCTATCTTTCTATCTATCTATCTATCTGTCTATCTATCTATCTATCTGTCTATCTATCTATCTATCTATCGATCTATCTATCTATCTATCTATCTATCTATCTATCTATCTATCTATCTATCTATCTAATCTATCTATCTATCTAGCTAGCTACCTATCTAGCTATCTATCTATCTACCTCTCTATCTATCTATCTATCGATCTATCTATCTATCTGTCTGTCTATCTGTCTATCAATCCATCTCCCTACCCATCTATCTGTCTATCTATTTATCTATCTACGCATCTAGCTGTCTGTCAGACGGAAGGCTCCATGTGGCAACGTCTATCATTCCTGGCTCCTAGTTCAAAAAGCGCTCCAGGGACGTCAGTTTTTAACACTTGTCACTTGGAAGCGTGCTTCGCGCCACAGTTGCGTGCACTTTTGCACCATCTCAACTTCCAAAAGTGGCCCGAGACCGGCAGTTTTAGCCCTTTTGACTTGCAAACCTGCTTCGTGCCACAACTGCGTGCCATTGTTCATCTCTCATCTCCCCGAATGGCTCCGCACCTGCCGCTTTAGCGAGCCTTCTTTTCGACCCTCCCGGAGCAACAAAACATCGGACAAACACAGTGTTTCGCGACTTTTCTATCTTTTCGCCCACCTGTATCTTCTTTCTTCTGACTCTTTCTCTTCTCTGATCTTAGCTCTACTGACTCTTTCTCTTCTCTGACTCTTCTCACCTCTGCTTTTCCATCTGAAAAGGATTTAGTTTGATTTTAATGGTGGTTTAAAGGGATTTAATGGGATATGACGGGAATATAATGGGGATACAATGGAGACATAAAAATAGATAGTTGGTGCATATCCCCGTAGAGGTAGAGGATTTACCTCTTAAACATCGTGTTTTCCTCAAATTACCATCTAGCAACCCCAAGTCATAATAACAAGGATTCAAAAGGTTGGAAACCTGGAAATATGAGGTACAGTAATGATCATGATCATCTATGTCTGGTTGGTGGTTTTAACCATCTTGAAAAATATTAGTCAATAGGAAGGATTATCCCATATATTATGAACAAAAACATGCTTGAAACCACCAACCAGTATGTGATAATGGGAAACAATGGGATAGTTCAAAGTGTCCATCATTTTTGTTGGTTAAATCCGATTTTCAACTGCTGAACCTAAGGTCAGAGTCCTTGCTGGCACAACCTGGAAGTATCTGGAAGTGTAGACTGGGGAGCCCCGCCATGTCTCGAAAATCGCTGGGGGAAAGCCTCGAATTGCTCAAATACTCCTGGCACGGAGCTGACTCAGCCTGTGGTGCCATGGCTTGTGAACCAAACCCGACAGCTACCCATGTCTGGGGTATTTTACCTACATGTACTAAAAAATCATTTAAACACATTGCCAATTAGGGAGAAACATGCCGAATCATCTCAAGCTTTGAAATCAGCAAATGGCGAAGCATTGCTTTGAGGCTGGCGTTTTGGACACGCTCTTCATGTCCATAGAGTTTCCAAAAACGTGGCTGATGGAACCCCAAAAACTCATAAAAACTCTAACTCTTATGGACTGACATGGAAAACCCGAAAACGAACATCGATACTTCTACTACTACTACTACTACTATTATTATTATTATTATAGTGGACACCGGGCAGACACCGGGCAGATCCGGGTCCCTCTCAGATGGCCCTGTATGGGCCATTAGACCTACGTAGACCATCACTATGTGAAAGAGAAGTATGTTGACCAACTTTTTTTCCTGCACCTTTAGCTATGCAAAATGGTACACTTGGTTCGTTGATTTACCTATTAAGAATGGTGATTTTCCATAGCAAACTGTTAGTTTACCAGAGAGTAGAGGTTACTTTGATCGACATCGGGCCTCGGAAAAGGCCACGTAGGCATCACCTGGCTTCAAACCCAGGCGCCTGGCGTGCGGGGCTGCTGCTCGAAACTGGTTCCGTGGAAGGCTCATGGGGTGCACAATACATGGCCTTTATATGGGAATATAGGTGCAAATATTGACTACAATGCATGATGATTGTTCCATGGGCATCCAATCATGTCCTAAAGATGCTACTTCAAGGGCAGTACCACGCTGAGGATCTCTGAGGAATGGATTTGAAGATATGTTAAGCCTCTACCCTCTGGTAAACTAACATAGCTATTGAAAATGGCCATTTATAGTGAGTTTTCCCATTAAAAATTGTGATTTTCCATAGTTATGTTAGTTTACCAGAGGGTATAATGCTTTCGGAAGGATCTCATGGATTTTCATATCCGCAACTCCATTGGCAATGTGTTCCCCGTGGTAACCCTATAGTATACATTTTAGTTCACATCCCAGCAGAGACAGAATGATTGAAATTGGCATGTGAATAAAACCACAACATGGGGGAGGAGCTTTGACTCATGCCCCATAACGCCAACAAGCCACCAAAATTTATGGGCTATATTAAGCTATACCACATATTATTCTATATATAATTATATATAATCATTTTCTGGAATATCTTCATGTTTGTTGGCGAATATGACTAGCAGTTCGATCCCCATGAAGCAACCAGGGCCCCAAAAATCAACCGCCCAGGGGCGTTGTTCGCGTCTTGCCTGGCTTTGCCCAGCACTTCATGCCATTGTTTCCTGCTGGTTGAAGTCCAGATTTTACCAACAAAATCCAATATACCCTCTGGTTATTGAACATAGCCATGGGAAATGGCCCATAGAAATAGATGGTTTACCGAACTTAAAATGGTGGATCTTTCCATGGCTATGTTAGTCATAACCAGATGGTAGTTTGGGAATGCGTGTGCTGGACGAGCTGAGTTCCCTCGAGATATGCTTGCCATGAATTTGCAAATCATGAACTCGTGGTAACCGTAGTAACCGGCAGGTTCCCCATTAGCTGTCAAGGCCCCATGCAAGCAGCTTGTAAGAAAAGCAATCTTGTGAGTCTGGTATCAGCCTTGCAGTTTTGTTGGAAAATGATCGTGAAGGTAAGTCAGCTGGTTACTCTTTCAAGCCATTTGCTGCTGGGCAAGTTGCATATCCACAACTAATCAAATAGCTGTGCAATCAGGAGCATGCTTGGAGATTCCGAAGTGCTTGAAGAAGGACTCGGGGCTTTTTTTGTAGAACTTTAGCCGGATCACCATTCAACGGTGACAAACAACCTCCACCAAGGCATATTGTGACACTTTCTTCTAGTCTTAGTAGTCCTTCCCTCTTGGCAAAAATGTCTCCACACCTGGATAGACCATCGTTTTGGTATGTTTTGGTGATCAAATCCCACTGTGTCCGATTAAAGATTACAGCCCAGTACTTCACAATATATCCCCGTTTTGGCTGGTATAACATCCCACATAAAAAATGGACAACGTATTCCAATTACCTCACATTTCTGGTTACACCCCAGTACCTCCCCAGTTTGGCTGGTATAAGATTTCCAATTAAAAATGGACACGCCCATTTTATGATCCGGTTTACACCGGTCCCATAATGAGTTCAAGCAGTCCTCATACAGCTTAAGGTACTGGTTAAGCTTTATCTAGATATCATAATCATCAACAAACCAGAATTTCTAGAAAGTACCAATGGTTATGATATTATGATATCTAGATAAGGCAAAAAAAAACAGTACCAATTCTGGTAGGCAAAAAACCAGCACGTTGCGAGTGATCGATCCATCTTTCGGCAGGGCCCCAACGTGATCTCTCGCATCTTGTCAAGGTAGAACTGGGCTCCGGGGCGTCGTCCGCAGCAGCAGTAAACAGTGTGTATGATACAGTGCCATAATAAGCCATGCTGTAGCATGTTGTATAGGCCATAACAAACATGCAATCATATACCATATCTATATAGTCTATATATCTAATATGTTTCTGTCCATTTTTTGATATGACGCCAAAAAACACGCATATACCATGGCTACGGAGCCATGGTGGGATGGGTTGCTGCAGAGGTGGTTTCAACCCTACCATTTGAAAAACCCCATTTTTGATGGACAAATAAAACATGTTCCAAAACACCAACCGTTGGTTTTTAATGGATTTATTGATGTTAGGTTTGTGCAAACGGATGCTGTTTTTTTTTGCGTGATATGTTTTTGTTCGTGCAAAAATCACTGGTTGGTGGTGTCAACCCCTCTGAAAAATATGAGTTCGTCAATGGGAAGGATGACATCCCATATATATGAAATGGAAAGTAAAATATATTTGAAACCACCAAGCAGATCATTCTCCCAAACCATTTGGCGGTCACCAGTCTTTCTTGTGGACATCCGTGGGGCAAACCACCGGGAATTCGACGTACAAAGGGTTGATGTCCATATGTTTTATAATGTTTAACGGAGGGTAGCCCGAAAAGGACAACCTCCGACATGGTCCAGACATGTTCATGATACCCCCCCCCATGATCTTCCGCTTTATACCGATGGTTTTTCTACACCGATGTGGATGAAACCTGGGGAAATCCAAAAAGGATCAACGTCCCTGGGAGGCCAACTTCCCTGCCAGCTTCATCAAAGTCTTTGTACTTCGCTCCAAAGTTCACCAGATCCGAGTGCTGCGGAGCTGGAGAGGCACGGCAGGATGTGAGGAAGTTTCCTACCAGGGCTACCCCCCAAAATCCTCCAAGTCATTAGACCATGTACTGTTGAAACTCCAAGGCTTTTGGGGATTCCAAGTCATGGATGACCATGACTTTGTATTGAAACAACCTGCAGGTGACGACTGGGGATCCACCATGACTTCAGAAACCCTCATAGATTGCTATGGGGTTGCTGAGTGCTGTCTAACAAACCGCCGGCCTAAACCTAACCTGTCCATAACTCTGGACGTAGAGCTGAGAAATCCCATCTCATTCCAGACTCGTTCCATGTAAATATGGAGCTTTCCTAAAATGCTGGTACCCCAATAGCTGGATGCTTTATAATGGAACAACCTATCAAAAAGGATGATTTGGGGGTACGGAAATCCCCATATGTTGGTGAGCCATTTCTGATAAATTCCTGCTTGCTGTTACGTCAAGGGCTCGGACCTCTAATACTGGTTGAATTACCAGAAACATCTCTGGTAATTTGTCAAACCAAATTATGTAATGTTGCATAGGTATGCATAGGTAAGAAATCACAACACCATTTAGCTATTACAAATTACCTTTGGAGATATGTATCCAAATGACGGCACATCACCAGTGTTCAAAGGAAAAAAACATCAAACTGCATGGGCAATGTTCCATAGCTATCAACATCTGTTGATCAGTGGCCAGCTGTTTAAATAGGAAGGCAACACAGCAAACAGCCACATCTTTTTTCCGACTGGCAAACAGATTCGGTGGCCCATTCCGAAGTTGGTGACATCAAGGGTGACTTCAAGGGCTACCCATTTGGTGACATAAGATGTATTTCATTCAGCTGGGGTAACATGGGGTAACTGGGGCAACTGGAATAACCTGGGCTCTCTTTTTAAAGAGCTCCAAGGGGGGATCTGAACCGCTCCAGCAACAGCCTGGTGTATTTTTCGAAGGTTAGCTCTTGCAATGCAAAACACAAAACCTGGGTGATAGTGATGTAGTGATACAGTCTTGGATCTCTTCATAAATTTGGGAGGCCCAAATAGGGCAAAGCGAAAAATCTTGGGATGGGATTTTTTCGCTGCTCGACCTCCTTGGACAACTTGAGGTACTCAGCCTTCCAGCCAAAATGCGGAGGGCGTGTTTCAGTCATAGAATAGAAAACCAATGATTTCAATAATGAATCAGTTAATTGGTGGTCATTAGGTATATTTATATGAATATTACATGAATCAATTAAGTTCAGTGTCATTCAGTGTCTATGGTAGATTTTCCAGCACGTCATGTTTGTCTACGGAGGGAACATAGTTTTTAAGATCGCAACCCATCATAGATTCTAGAAGTGGCTGACTGCACCATTTGGAAGTCGAGAGCTTGGCAACCACATTTTGTTCAAGGAAACACTTGATGGTTTCACAAAAAACTCAGAAAACGACCCATCCCGCCCATCCCATCAAACCAAGCTGGACGATGACATAAACCGGCACGGAAATATTTCTGGTGTTGGCCGTTCTTTTGGCACCGTGTTCACAGGTGTTTTTTGTGGTAATACAGTAAACTCAGTAAACCCAAGAATAAACCGTCCATGGACCCCAAAATCACCATAAATGGCTTAAGTATAAACATGTATAAACGCATTATTTTTCCAACCATCCCCTTAAAATCCCTTAAATGGTGATGATTTACCACAAGCCATCAGCCAGGCTGATGTGGATTGGACATGGACTGGGCCCCCCTGCTCCAAATCGCTGTAACTCAGGGGAAGCATCAAAGTTGGCATCCTCGAGGCTTCCCCTTTGCTTGGAGGATCAGAACCCGCGGCTTTTGGTTGATAAGCATATAATTATAACCATAGTTATAACCATCTGGTTGGTGTTTTTAACTATCTTGAAACATATGAAAATCAGTTGGGATAATGACATTCCCAATATTATGGAAAGTCATGAAATTCATGTTCCAAACCACTAACCAGCCATGATCCATAGTTATAAGCCACTTATAAATCGAATCATTGTACGAATCAGGGACTTACGATCACCAGGCTTATAACATCTTATAACATCTTATAACCACTTACGAGCCTTGGGATGATCCTCCCTTGCAGGATCAAGCTCGCTCGCCTTAGGACCTGTCGACAGGTAGGACGGTAAGTGTTCATAGTTTCTTTATGATTTCACCACGTGGAATCTCATGAAATCTCATGAAATCTTGTGGTTGTTCATTCATATCAAAAATGTGGTTAACCAATGGTTAACCCACCCCCCTGAAAAATGATGGAGTTCGAAAAAGATTATGATCATCATCCCAACTATTGGGGAAGTCATAAAAGCGCCATGTTCCAAACCACCAACCAGATACCCTCTGGTGAACTAACATAGCAATGGAAAATCACCATTTTTCATGGGAAAATCCACTATAAATGGCCATTTTCAATAGCTATGTTAAATTACCAGAGGGTATGTATTCACAGAGAAAGACAGGGTCGTCCCGGAGTGGCTCCTCAAATGGCAACACCCGAGGAGCGCTGCTTGGACTGTCGCGATGCGTAGCGATGCTTATAGCGCTTAAGATGCTGGGCAGATTTCTGATTTTCTGGGAAAGTCTACCGTAAATCATGAAAACCCTGGGTTTTAATCATGGTAAACTCATCGAAACCTTGGGTTTTGGGAAACCTGGAAGATCTCGTCGTAAAACACATCAAAATCCCTGGGAAACTAACATGCCGTTACCGATCGGGAACTGGCCCAGGATCGGTAAGGCTTGGTCCCCGGGGAATCCCCAGGAGCAGCCAGATTTGATTCTCGTCAAATGAGAAATGATGATTTCATTGCCAATACCCTGCAAAAAAATAAATTCTTTGCTGGTGAACGTAGATATTCCCATTAATACCAAAAGACTAGTTAGGATTAAAGTATCCATGTAAGATTGACCTAGAAATGAGAAATGTTGAGGATTTTGGGTGAGTTGGACCCACTGGAACTGGAACAGGAATGATCCAGTTATTTCTATCCTCCCAATCCATGGTACCGGCTTCAAAAAACACCAGGCATTAGAGAAGTATGATGGAAAAGTTGGGACATGGGACAATTGCACAAGCCATTAGGATCTAATTTGATTTATAGTTTTATCGAAGTTGAGGACCCAATGGATCATCCATGAAGCAAGGAGACCTGCCTGCCTGCGAAAACTCCAGGAACACTCCGAGGATTCCAAAGGAGAAGTTGAAGTCATGGGGTTCCCATAGTACAATACTGCTTGGTGGTTTCAACCCCTCTGAAAAATATGAAAGTCAATGGGAAGGACTATCCCATATATTATGAAACATGAAAAATGTTCCAAACCACCAACCAGAATAAGTGACCATGCTTCCTTAAGCTATACTTAGTCATGGTATGTCATGGTCATCCATGACGAACGATTGCATGATGATATGATGCAAGATATGCAAGGGGGTATCCCTACGATTTTGGAAAGCTCAAAATGTTATCAAATCCCATTAAAATACCACTGAATACCATCGAAAACCTATTAGATCCCATGAAGTCAAATTATATAAGTCCCATTAGATCCCATTAAGTCAAATTGTATAAGTCCCATTAGATCCCATTAAGTCAAATTATATAAGTCCCATTAGATCACATTAAGTCAAATTATATAAGTCCCATTAGATCCCATAAAGTCAAATTATATAAGTCTCATTAGATCCCCATTTATAATACCAAAAGTATCCAAAAGTTTGATTTCTACCCTTCAGTCCAGCGACGTTTTTTTTCAAATCCAAGTCGTCAGGGTCGACTTGGCATCGCATCTTATCATCCCAAGGATGCAGAATTTTCTTGGAAACCAACGAACACTTCGTTGGTTTAACTACACATGTTATTTTTCAATTTCTAGTTGTATGTTCACTGAAATGTTGGGAAGTTCTATTTCGATCTATTACGGCTATCTAGAAGTTATCCAAATGTCGAGGTTTCTCTTAGTGAACCAGTTCCGGGACTTCTGGTGACTTGGTGACTGGTAGCCCCAATGTCAGCGGATGCCTCTGATAAGGAGTTTGTCCTGCAGATCGCTGCGCTCAGTCAGAGAGAGAGAGAGAGAGGCAATGAGGAGCTTTAAGATGGAGCAAAGATGGGAAATTTGAAGAAAATCATCAGTCAAACAAGTGAATTTAACCATACCTGAACCCGCTGTCATACCTTGCAGGTAAATCAGGTAAGGAAAACCAAGGTCACGCACATGGAAGCAATACTCAGCAGGCAACCAACAGAATGATTTGACCAATCCAAATGGTTAACAGAAGTGGGGAATTTGCCAATGAACCAAATCAGCCAAGAAGGATGGGGATATCTAATGATTTATATTATCAGTTTAGCCACGTAAGAAATGGGCAAGCACATATACTGTATTAGGCATATAGCGAAAAAACAAAAAGTGGATTCGGTCAACAAAAAACCATAGGAATCAAATCAACGTCCGTGAATCTGTCATCACGCAGGATAAGAACAGAGTGGTGGATCATGAAATCATCAGGACACCTTCTAGTTGGCGATTCAGGTGGTGTGATCACTGCTGTCCCAGAACATCAATATCAGTGGCAAAACGCCCACAAGCACCAACCGTTATTTTAGAGACCATTTTTTGGAGATGTTATTCATGTTCTATTCATGTTGTTTTCCTGGTGCTATCGACGCTTTCATCCAGGAGCCATGTCAGAACTCAGGGTGCTTGGTGTGTTCACCAGCATTCCACGCTCCACCCACACCTCACTGACCGCTTACCCAGCTTTATATACTCAATCAGGTCCGTACATATATGGATAGGGATCAAAATTAGGTATCCTTAGAATTGATATCATAGATATCATACTTTATTTACCATGACAAACTCTGCAGGCCCTTAGGTCTTAGCTTTTGACCATCCCCATACAATCGCCACATTTTACCAGGACGGAGCCCAGTCCTGACGGTGCAGCTTTGGCTAAGGCCACGGGGTCTACACCTGGCTGCCCGAGCTGAAGGGGTGGATTTCTCTGCTGACAGTGACTGGCTAATTTGCTCTGTCACACCATATGTGGATTACATCATCTTGCATTTTGCATCATTTTGGGATCCTCCATTTCAAGTATTTTCACCGTACTCAGTACATGAGTTTACCTGATCCTGGCAAATAGATGCAAATGGGGGATGTTCAATCTACATTGACATTTTGACGAAGCAAAAACCTTCAACGAACCAGCTTAACATAGTGATTCAACCAGGAACAAAACATGGCAGCGTGGCAAACACAAAACCAAACGAATCCAATACCCTCACCAAGAAGATGTTCCCTATTGATCCCTATTGGGTCCTGCCGTAACCCCTACCCCAAGCGTTTAGCGAACTTCTTGGGAGATTTGTTGCAGCTCGGCGCCGAACGGAATTCTCCGTCATCCCGGAAGACGTTACCCGAGTCAATGAAACGCAAAAAGCCGCCCCAGTGATTCTGCGTATCATTCACAAAATTCCATGGATTGGTTTAAGGGAAAATCTTAACCGGAAACCATTGATTTTCCCATGAAATATGGGGTTTTCCTGTAAATTTTCCCTTAAACCCATTGAAAAAATCCACTCAGTCATGGTGCTCTGTCCCGCCAGATTGTTTTGTTGATGGGAACATCAGGGAACCATCTCAGAGAGTCCTGGAGTCCTGCTATTTTTGTTGATTCGAATGATTTATGAAGTCCTGATTACTACTGGATTGATCAATAGTGACGGTTTAATCATTGCCAATCAGCCAGATACCCTGCAAAAAATGAACAAAAAATAAATTCTTTGCTGGTGAACGTGGATATTCCCATTGATACCAAAAGACTAGTTAGGATTAATGTAAGATTGACCTAGTTACTACTGAACGAGTGGTAATCCAAATCAATTGCTAAGTCTCACTGCGAACTGGAGTACATGTTCCCCTCCCTACAAGCTGAGGCACCAGTTACAGGTAACTAAAACCCCATTGAGTAATTATAGATAGCAAAGTATAGTTCTATCAGTTCTATCAGTTATATTATATATATATATCCCTTAAGTTATGTGCTATATGTGTCCCAAGTATCAGTTCAATCCCAGGTTTATAGTAAGTTGATCTACCCAAGTTATGTGCGTCAACCATTTCGCCTGGAGAAATCACCTCACCCTGTCCACCTGGGGGTGGGGGCGGCACCATCATGCCATCCGCCTCCGCCATAATGCCTTCTCCCTGACATGAAATCTGCGGGACCAGGATGAAATCAGCGCGAATTTGGGGGACTAGATGACTAGAGTTTCCATTAGAAAAACCATCCAGCGATTGGGGATTCTCCCCATTTCTGAATTTTCCCCCATTTCGAAATATCCAGTATGGTAAAGTATCTATAGTTATCAGTTTGCGAACTGGAAACACATCATGTTTTATTAGACTATGACGATTAGACTTTATGAGTCTGAGTAAAGCATCGAGCTAAATGGGCAGTTTCGCTATGTCAAATGGCCAGACACTATGGAGGAAGGTCCTATAGCCCCAAATCATGCCCCAAATACTTCCTGATCCATAGGGAGAGGGTATAGCATAGTCATAGTCTGATAACAATAAATCCTGGACCACTTAAAAGAAACTACCGTACCTATACCTGTACCTATTGCTTTGGTCAGCAAACGTCCATCAAGTCTTAGTTGGAGAGTATGTAGCCCCATGGCAAAGGAGTCATCAATGTCACCCCAAAAAAACAGGCACCTTAGTGGCAAGATCACCATTGTTTGAGAAATCATAGGCACCATAATGCACTATGCACCATTTGTCGTTCATTTCCAGGGTTCAAACCAAGGACACGGCCTGCCAGGACGTCATCTTTTCAACCTCAGCGAAAGTCGGAAACCCCCAGATCTGATTGATCGAAACCATCTTAAGAACCAAATCAGGCTCATCGAAACATGGTTAACCCGTGAGAAACAATACCCTCTTAGACTCTTAGTCTATTGATGTCTGTTGTAGATTTAAAAAACAAACGGTTATCTTTGCCATTTGCTTGATGGCTTCTCCAATACTCACAGAGATCAATCAATGTTATATCATAGTCCAGTTGATTCATGAAAACACATTGACAATTGATACAATAATCATCCCGTTTATATAGCTGGATTGATCAATAGTGATGGTTTAATCATTGCCAATCTTAGATACCCTGCAAAAAACAACTTTGCTGGTTAGTAGATATTCCCATTAATACCAAAAGTTGACTAAATGATTCATCCTAGAAATCTAAGGTCGACCTAGAAATCATTCATCCTTGTCTGACCATGGATCATTCTCAGCTGCTGACCGTCCTAAAGGTAGGAGCTCCCATCTTCTGCACCTGGAAGTTTTGCCGGGATCACAAGGATCTGGCCCAACTTACGGCTGGTTGTAAGGCCCCAGAAAAGTGCTTGGCTTTCGACTGAGTCCTAGGGGATCCCCAGTCGTCACCATAGGTTACAATACTAAGTCATGGTCATCCTTGGCTTGGGTGATGGGGGTGTACCCCCATGACAAAACGGAAATCTCCAAATCTAGAAGTGGAATGATCATGAATGATCCACAAATTCAGGGATGGCTTCAAACCCTGGTACCCTGATACATATCTAGTAGCTCCGCGCAATTCAAAATCAAAAACCGCCCCATGTTCTATAGTGGTTTCCCAAAAAACAAATACCATCATTCAGTGTGGTGTGCTGGTTTATCGGTCCATGTTTATCTTTCTCCTGGTCAAGCGGGATAGCGGTTCTTTATATGTTCCATGTGCTTTCAGGTCTGGCGCTCTGGGATTGATGGCACGTATGGCCTGGCCAGACGACTGGCCGAAAAACAGACAGAAAACAATCAGGAGACACCATCAGACTTGACCATGGCACTTGGATATCCCAATTAAAAATCCCTGACAATGATTATAATGTTCCATTGATTCCATTGATTGTCAGGGATTTGATTGGGATATAATGATATTATAATGTTCACTGATATCCCAATTCTAATGATTATAATGTTCCATTGATTCCATTGCCATGTTTAAGTTGCTTCATCGATTCATCATCCAGCTACTCTCCTTCCACCTCCATGATGTGGCACCTTCATTTCCATGATGTGGTAGGCTTCTATCACCTGCAGAAATTGGATGGAGACCCAAAGGGACCGTTGGGAAAAATCACCGACCCCTTCAGAATCTCTTGATGCTTCGATCACCAGATTTCTCCGTGGAAACTTCCGTGGAAACCTGGTTTCCAAAAAACACGTTTTCTTGAAGTTGAAACAGATTTTTGACGATCCCTGGTTTCCAAAAAAAAAAAGTACAAACCTCCAAAATCAAAACTGGCAAGAAAGAATCCGTTCTGAAGTTTCTCTCAGAACGCGCACAGCTTCGAATAAATCCCAAGCCTGAACCAGGACCTGGCACACGTTTTGGGGACCTGACTTCACACGTAAAAACCGCAGCCCCAACCTGAAAATCCTGCGAATCCTCCATCGCATCCAACAACTGCTTTAAACGATCCCCCTGGCGCAGGATGTGCGACAAACCACGGCTCGGATCCGTGGCTTGTCCATATATATAAACCCAACTTTCATCACATATATATTCAACGGGAATTTCAGGATCCTAAAATGGAGGTACTGTACCATAAGGCCATATTTTGTGGTGATATTCACTTATATAGGCCTTATATATGGTAGGTACCTCCATTTTAGGATCCTGAAATTCCCATTGATATATCTGGGTAAAGGCCATAATATTTCACGTTCACCTGAATAGTGAAGGGCCATTTGGGGATGATTTCCCGAATTTAAACCATGATTCCAGTGAGGTCGCAGTAAGGTCGTTATAATTTACCCATATATATATACATATTTATATTATATTTATTTAACAATGTATAACACGGGATATTCCATAAATATCCATAAATCTCAGGCTATAACTCACTAGCCGTGGGGCCCGTACTGTTACATCGACACCGTCTCAGGCATCTCAGCTGGAACATATCATGACCCAGAGGAATTCATATTGGATGGAAACTGTGCATTCAATGGACCTATTGATAATATATATATATGACCTCATTGATATACCTATGCATATCATCTATATTTGTGGATATAATTATAGTTTTATAATCATTAATATCCACTATTATTATATATATATGTATATGTATAATATTTGGATTGATTCTGTAAATCAAGTGTTGGTTGAATTTTAGTACAAAGGTATCCATCCAGTATTTAACCTCAACTGCACCCCCTTTTGTAGGATCTATCCGTTTGTAGGATGGATTTCAGCTCCCAGATTGTTGGTGAGTCAACTCGTTTTCTTCAGTAGAGTAATCCCTAAACAATGACACACGATCGACCAGCAAGACTAGGTAACTCAAAATCGGGTATATATGTATGTATATATATATTATAACTATATATCTATGTAACCATATAACCATATAATTATAAGGTATATCCCAAGTCATGAAACTTATTCCCAACTCGTTCTTCCCATTGATCCCATCGAAAAACAGCAGTGCTCCTGACACAACTCCCTGTATGTTCCCTGTATGCCATTATTTACCATTATATACCATTATATATATATATTACCCTCTGGTAATTTAACATAGCTATGGAAAATCGCCATCTATAGTAGGTAAATCCACTATTTCTATGGTCATTTTCAATAGCTATGTAACAAATTACCAGAGGGTATACAGTATACTAACCACTACTAACCATTGTAGTACCATTATGTATGAATCATTTTTCAAGGAGTTTTCCTAGAGTGGGACGTACCCGTAAATCATCCATTGATGGAAAACCATCCATCTTTGGATTTTTGGGGACCCCGCCTGTTGCTTCAAGTCAAATCCTACCTGACAAAAACGTGGCCACGGTACGCCAATCATCGTGCAGGAAAGTACGGCATATACATGGATCATATACATCTGGGAAAACTATACATCTGGGTAAACTATATACATCTGAGTAAACTATACATCTGGGTAAACTATGCATCTGGGTAAACTATGCATCTGGGTAAGCTATACATCTAGGTAAACTATCATATTTCACTAATCTGAAATAATTATAAATATAAATAATTAAGGTTGTTTAATGAACTTTATGATAGTTACCCTTACTAGCCATTATTGTGTGGTCGCAGTGGGGTGCTTATAATCTACCCAGATATATGGATGAAGATTCAATTGATTTGATCATATTTGAATATACCCTCTGGTAAACTAACATAACTATGGAAAATCACCATTTTCAATGGGAAAATCCACTATAAATGGTCATTTTCAATAGCTATGTTAAATTACCAGAGGGTATTTGATAATATTTGATATAGTCAACCATATTTTCAAGCACCGAAGGTAGGTGATTTCCAGCAGAAAACGACCGACAAAATTTTGCACGATGTTGTGCTTCCCATGATCAAAGCATCGCGACAGTTCTGGTATGGTTCCAGGCTAAATCATATGGGAGGTGAATCCAAACATAACCGAGGCACGCACACATACATAATATATATATAATAATAATAATATTAATAATAATATTGTAATAATAATAATAACACTAATAATAATGAAAATAATAATAATGAAAATCCCTATTGGTGGATTGATAACCATCCACCAATATTGGCATTGCAATAGCGGTTGATAAGTGGCTTCTACATACTACATATTGGTGACAAACGCTTCCATAACATCACTGTCATAGCACCTAAACGTGTAGCTACGGAAGTCGCTGTTCCAAATTGGTGAAAGTAAATTGACATCAGCATTTTGAGTCGAGCCGTCTCTTTGTTTTGACCGGAACATTGCTTAAATACGTTGGATCTCCTGAAAATTGGCTTCATATATTTGAAAAAACACTAGTTGCCCATTGACCAATAGACCAATAGAACACCCTAAGTTCTTAAACTCTGTATGGTCTAAATATTTTAGAGTGATTTCGTTAACCTCGAGTTTCATGCCCTGAACATAGCCTTCCTTTGCTGCCGCCGGTCAGGCTGGATGCCTTGAGTGACTTGAGTGCTGAGCTTTGAGGACGTTCCCAGATAGGAACATCATGGGGATACAACATACAACATAATGTAATACATTTAAAATCTCCCAGAATGTAATACTACTAAAGGAGAATTTGGGGAAATTTAAATTCTATTAGTCAATGTTCCATCATGGGATAATAGGGGGTCTATTGGAATCTATACTGAATAGATTAATTATGCAAATGCACTAGTTAAATTCCCTGAGATGCCGTATATTACATCTACGATATAGTTCATAGATTCCGGAAAGGTTCCGTAAGTAGCGAATGTCCCATTATTGGGGAAATTAAAAACATCTTCAGAAAATCCAGGGATTATGAAGGGATTGCCACTGAGATGCATATAAGATTATAAGATCATTTATTTAATATAACCCCAACCAACCATCATGATGTTTCAATCTCACCAGACCGTCTCAGAGGGTGGACAATCTTTATTTGGCAGAAGCCTTTCAAATTGGATTGGTTGGGGGGACAAGTGTAACCGGAAACCATGGTTAACCCCATCAAATTGACTTACACCAATCCAATCCGAGGAGCATCTGAAAGTAAAAAGGTCAGAATCATTGCTTTGCAAGTACCTAATTGGGATTACACAAATCCATACAAATTAATACAAGTGGATAGACTCATCATTAGTAACGGATGATGTTCATTAGTCCCTTAAGTGGTCTGGTCTCGCGATTTATCCCATCTAGAACTAGATAGATTAACACCACTTGCGAATCGGTTACAAGGTGATTTTCTAACTATGATCCTCCTCTTTTGTTTTGGTTCCTCAACATACTTCTGTTTCGGCACGTGCTTTGCAAAGTGCGGCAAAGGTAGGTATTCAGCTTCAGACTTTGCCGAAAAGACCGAATTACGGTGGCATTTTCCTGGCCAAATTGCTTCAGATTTTCCTTAGTTGTCACCAATCAATTGAGATTTCTATCATGTTAAGTCTGTTAAGTACGCTATTGATAATTGAGATAGGGTGATTAAGAAAAGTAGACTTAAAATGACTTAAATGGGGAGCAGATCATTGATCAAGTTTTGGGGGGCCACTGGGTTAGCTTCTCATCAAATAAGCAACCCCTGGCTCCTTACCGCAACATCATGGCATACGGCCACTAAGGTATCAAACAAAAACTCAGAAAAAACCAAAAAAACATGTATATATGGAAAATCTATGGAAAATCTATGGAAAATCTATGGAAAATCTATGGAAAATCTATGGAAAATCTATGGAAATACGGAAACCTAAATTTGACTATCTATTCTGGGCTGCGCCACTCAAAAGCACAGACAGAAAAACACCAAATCGCCATCCCCACGGCCGCACCTGCTGCAATCTGCCGCACCAGCGCATCAAACTCACCTGCGGCCATTTTCCCCAACGTTTGACCAAAACGGTGAAGAGTGATTCCTCCAATTTCGTCATTTCATGGGGTTTCAACAATGATTTTCCAAACGTAGCTGAGTCATTTCATAGCTAACTTGACCCATCCCACATCATATCGTCGCGATGGGTTCCAAGATTTCTGGAAGTGGATATGACCCCCAAGAACTGCAGATCTTGGGGTTCATCAGTGAAAAATTGCAAAATAAATGGTTACCCTCTGGTTATGACTAACATAGCCATGGTATAGATGGCCCATTTATAGATGGTTTACCAATTAAAAATTGTGATTTTCCATGGCTATGTTAAATAACCAGAGGGGAAAACAAACAAATATCTCAAGCGGTCACTACATGGACATGCATCCCATTAGAGATGATTTAGACAGAATGACCATCGAGTAAAACAAGGTCAAAACCGACAAACATGTCACGGTGAGTTCTCCTGATAGCCGGGTAGCACCACACAATGCAGACCATGATCAGTGTAGGCAAATGGACAAATCGCTGCATCTACACGTTTAATTTTCGGCCCTTAACCCCAAACAGCATGATAAAACATGTATAGCAGGCTACCCGCTATCTGTTCAAGTGTGCTGGTGATGCCTCTGTTGTCTTAGGTGCCCATGGAAGTCTCAGCTACCTTTGTGGTCTCAGCAGATGGCATCAAAATCGGATGAAGGCCTCAGGAAGCCATACATAGGGGGTTCAGCAAGCCTTGTAGCGCTGTAGACCCCAAAAAATCATCAGTCACCCAGTTGGGCATGGATATTACCAGTTATGGTAAAATTGGAAATGGTGTCATTTCTTGCTGGGTTAATATTTTTTTACGGTACATCCCAGCAAGTTAAAGAGTGACATAGCATTCTGACTTCACTTGGGTTCGTGTGAAAATATGCTACCTGAAAAGTGCATGGTTAAAGAATGGTTTTCAGTGGGAGTACCCCATTTCAGTGAGACCGACATAATAAAAATCACTGTTTAAGATGCTATTTAGCAGGAGTCAATGCCCCGTTTTCGGACACACCCAAAGTATCAGATCAAGTTGGCTTTCTACATCCCATGAAATGAACTACCCATTCACTTCGATGAATTTTCCATTACAGTATATTCCCAATATCAATCTAGTCTAAGCCAATGCATCCACTGTTTTTCATGGTTTTTAGGTGTTTTCCCATTCTATTTCCATTATAAGCCTCGTTCCAGCCCATTTTTGGTGGAATTGATATACCCTCTCATGAAAATGGGTGATTTATAGATGGTTTACCTATATAACATGATTATTTTCCATAACTATGTTAGTTTACCAGAGGATAAGTGTTAAATCCCCATAATCCTCAGCTATCTGCCCTGATGGAGCTTAGAATCCCAGACCAGCTGCGGCCCCCATTTGCGAAAGCGCTTTTTGTCGCACTTCGCTTACGAATGCTTCACTTTGGCTGGGGGGATATCACATGAGATACCCTCTGGTAAACTAACATAACTATGGGAAATCACCATTTTTAATGGGTAAATCCACTATAAATGGCCATTTTCAATAGCTATGTGGCTGTTTACCAGAGGGTAACCATAGTTACTGGATGTTACTGGTTATTGGGGTCTTTTTCTGGGTTTATCCAACTTATAACTGGGCGACCCAAGGTCCACACCCGTGCGGGCCTGATTTACTGGCAGCTGCGTAGTTCACTTGTGCGATCTCCTGGTCAAAATTGCCGCGAACCTGTGGCGCTGAAGAGCTAAGTTGGGGATTCAACTGATTGAAGAAAGAACACTTGATTTGATATGACTTTATATGATGTTACATCATTGTATGTGATGGTATATGAGATGACATGATTTGATGTGATTTTTTTTTACATTGTATACATTAATTATATGATGTTTATATAGATGATTTAATATGAATGTGTTTGAATTCATATGTTTTTTATATGATCTATATGATGTTATGTGATTGTATATGTGTGTTTAATCATCGGTTCAGATATATTCAGATCAACTCTTGTCAATTCTCCAGAATCGAGAGAAATCGAACACCCAAAGGGAGAAGAACTGCAAAGAAGAAACATTAATACCGAGTTTCATGGGGATTTATCATGAATTCAACCATCACACACAAAAAAAAAACAGGAGGCAGTGACCCCAAGTTACAAGTCGGTCTTACAACCACTAACTATAGTATACTATAGTTATCATATGTTATCATCAAAATCAGCCCCAGTTATATTACTTACAAAACTTAGCAAAGTATGGGGCACAACTTTGACAATTGATAGTGACCCAAGCTCTGCATTTCCATGGCCAGAAATGTCGAATCTGAGGCCTACCACAATGAAACAACCAAACATATATATATATATATTATATATACATATATATTATATATTTCTCATTGAATACAGGTTTCCAAACAATTTACATTCATCAATGGTAGCAAAAAAACAATTGACATTAACATAACAATTTCCCTGTTTGGTGAAAGATCACAGCTTGCATCTCCGGAATAGTCATTACTCTCCTGTAAACTAGCAAAGATGGGGAAAACCCACCATTTGCAGATCATTGTCATAGAGAAACCAGTGGTTTTCCACATGGCTACAGATCAATACCTATAGACTACCTTTTAGGGCAATGAACACCCATTTTACCAGCTATTTTGATGTCCACCAGGGGTATAGGGTTTTGTTTGACCTATACCCACATCTTTTTCTGGTTGGTGGTGCAATAACCATCTTGAAAAATGATGGAGCTCGTCAATGGGGTTGGGATGACATCCCTAATATATGACATGGAATTCATAAAAGCCATGTTTGAAACCACCAACCAGATATCATGATTCACCATTATTAACATTGATTAACCATTATTAACATTGATTAACCATGATTAACCATCATTAGCCCAGGGTAACTTCTATGTTTATCCTAGGGGGGGGGGGGGAACCTGTCTTCCCACGGTTAAACGAAACTGCGGAAACTGCGCCGCCGCGCCATGGTGTCGGATCGAAATGGACACGCTGGTCCCACGGGAAGCACCTTGGAAGCAACAGAGATGTCTGTCCATTTCGCGTAAATCATTGGATATTTAAGGGACATGATGTTGCATGGAATATGTTACATGGAACATGTTACAAAAAATGGGGAAAATGGATGATTCCCCTTATTAACCATGATGTTCAATGGATTGGTTTGTTGGGGAAAATTTTAACCGGAAACCATAGAGATTTTCCCATGAAGATCATGGGGCTTTCCGGTTAAAATTTTCCCTTAATCCAATCCATTGAGATGTTGCATGGAACATGTTACATTATGATGTTATGGAATGATGTTCCAAAATGATGTTCCAATATAAATCATTCCATCTATGGCTTAAGGTAAATCATTACCTAGTTATAGCAGATATTGACTAGTTATATCAGATATAATGAACCACATATCTCTGGGTAAAGGTAAATTATAATATTTCACTAACCTGAATTGTAAGGCCATTTGGGGATGATTCCCCTTATTAACCATGATTTCCAGTGAGGGAGAACAGTGAGGTCGTTATAATTTACCCAGATATATGGCTTAAGGTAAATCATTACAGGCACGCAGGCAAGGTAATATAAATCATTTCATCGTCGGATCGGAAATAGTGGACATGCAATTTTCCATATCAATAACAGGATGATGGAATATAATGCCATAATGATGATAATGCCATACTATTCCATATTACTAATTACCATCTGGTTATTTAACATAGCCATGGAAAATCACCATTTTTAATAGGTAAACTATAAATGGCTCATCTATACCATGGTAACCAGAGGGTATATTGGGACATGAACTATGGCAGCCAATGACATAGTATGGCTTTGTTTTTGGACATGATTCTGTAAATTATATGTCCAAGAATCGGGGATGGCCGCACAGCCCGAAAGAATTGCTGAGTTTTGTTGACAACATTCCCTTTCATCAACACAGCGTCCATCCTTTAGAAACCAAAGAGAATTAGATAGAAAATCACAATTTTTTTGTTACAGTAATAGGTAACTTAATCATCTATAAATGAGTCATATTCATCCATTTTCATCCATGTTCGTTTGTTTTCATTCATTCTCTTTCATTGTCCATAGCTATGTTAAATTACCAGAGGCCATTCTAAATATTTGTTGGATTAATCTTGTTTCTTGTTTTGCGGTCTGTGCATTGAGTCCTTGATCATCCTTCTGTTGCTTAAAATGGACACCTAAATATGGCAAACCTAGGGTCACTTTGACAAGACCACACCCGTTTCTTCAAAATGCACGAAGAAACGTTCCTTTACCTACTTGGTATTCCAGGTCTACTTGAAGATGTATGAAGATGTTGTTTGCCCTTTGCAAGCCTTGGATTGTCTTCAAAATGAGGTCTCCATAGGACTTCATCTCCTGCTCCTTGTCATCTGCAAATTTGCATTTAGAATCATTTATATAGATTTGGACATAGCCACCATTCTCCACATCCCTTGTCTCCCAGAGCCTCAAGCCTGAGACGCATTACAGTGAAACCAGAATGTGCAGAATGAGCAGAATCGGAGAACACATGGAGACAGGTGGAGAATTGTGTGATGCAAAAAATATCAAAAGATCCTCTACCTTGTATGTACTGATATCCGTACTGATGTCGATTACTATCGCAGCTACGCAAGCACCACCTGGCCACATAGCGCCAGTTTCCCTGGACAGCCCACACTCGTTTGCTGGACCATTTTGGTTCCTTACATCATTTAGCTATCTCACCATTCTGACTGGTTATTATCACCACTTTGCTTGTGCGGGAATCTTCACTAACATCATGTTACGCAAGACAACTATTTCTGGTTGTTTGGATGTGGTTTACAATGTCCCTTGACTTGGGTCGATGGGGAATGGATTGGTATTGTTCTTTGACCACATTGAGTAAAATTATGTAATTTATGTCAATGGTTTCATGCGGATTGTAGACTAATCCAGCAAAACATGATACACATCAGATTAAACAAACAAGCAAAAACAACCAAATAGTCTTATGGTTGTTTGATGTTGATTGCATTACCAGATTTTCCTTTGGCTTCCAGATGACCCTTGATGGATCCACTATGCATTGCACATAGTCCACTTCTTCAATGGTGGCAGCCGTCACAACTTCGGCTTCCACCGCGGATGTGGCGCAGTAAGGACCTGCACAGGGGAGGTTGCCTTGGTCGTTGTGGGCTGGGACCATGCCAGAAAGCTCTCGGAAATCTTTTTACGAAACAGGATGGAAGTCATATGGAGGTTTCCTAAGTCACACTTATGGGAGTACCCCATTTTATCATCCAAGTTATGGATGACCATTTTAACATTGAAACCTTTGATGACTTTGGGATCCTCCATTTTAAGAACATGATCCCATAGCGTGGGGATAGCATGGGGAGAATACGACATCCAAGTCTTGGGTTTTTGGCTGAGTTTCAAAGTGGGGTATACCCCAACAATGCCCCAGCTTTTGGCACTTTGATGAAGCATGAACAGGGTGGCGCCCCATAGTAAGCTAAATTGGTCTATAACACTGTAGCAAATACAACTAGGGCCTAGGGTTTATGGCAGATGTCTTCATGGTTACAGCAATTAAGTTATAAATCAACAAAACTGACTGGTGGGCAGCACATTGAACAAGTATGTTCTCAGCAAATCAATCCACCCATTGCCCATCTCATCATGTCTGTCAAAAAAAACCATCCGATCAACCCCAATTAATCCAAATGTAACCAGCCGGAAGCCGGCTGGTTTTATCTGAAAATAGGTACACGCCGAAGAAATATCACAGTTAATCATGATTAAATATATAATCATGATACTTCTCCAGATGGCCATTGAATTTGTGATTCATTTTATTGGCATCCCATGTGCTGCGACAAAGCCAGATGGCCACATCCAGGCCACCAACAGCGAGCGCAGCGAGCGCTCTCCACGCCTCGTCTTTGGAGGTTTGGCGCCACAAAGCTCAGCGACGCGGCCTCGTTTGGATTTCCCCGGCCTGGCCTTAAACCCAGGTCTCCCAGGTCTCTGGTGGACCGTTGATGGTCTCCGAACAATAACATGGGGCCACAGGCCACAACATCAGGAGTTCACTTTTGGGAAGAACTGGAGCTAGAGGGACCGAGGGACCGAATCTTTGCTTAGCGTTGAAGAGTTGTTTGGGGGCTGTTTTTCAAATGATATCAAAATCAGCGTAGTTCCAGGCCTTGCTTGCTGTTCCTGGATGCTTTCCCTTCAAGTGCGCAAGAAAAACTACAAGCTTTCACTGTTTGCGTTAGAAGGTTGTCTACAAGGAAACCAATCATAGATATGGTTGATCGTTCAACCAAGAAACAATGGTTGTACCATGGTTGTACCACCCATCACAAGAATCTCTCATGATTCAAGGAACACACATTGTAACTATTACCTCTGGCAAATTAACATAGACCCTGAAAATAGCCTAGTTTTAATGGAAACTAATCTTCCAACCCCTATCTGCCAGGGTCTATGTTAATTTACCAGAGGGTATCAACATTTAGATGCAACAAGCGATAATTAGAGTAATTAAAGAAACATTGGTGATTGATCCAATCTAATCGGGGGTTACCTGTTGCTATCAACCAACATCACAAAAGTGATTTGCAGATCACCAATCTACCCCAAAATCACGGTGAACTCTCTCTCTCTATCTGTCTATATATACATAAATCAAATCAAAGAAACTCAGAACAATATTCACTTTGGCAAAACATAGCCATGGTGTAACAGTTAGCCATGGATTCCATGGACCTTTCATAGATGATTTACCGATAAAAAACATGGTGATTCTCCAGTTCCCGAAAAATCACCACAGGGTGATTCCTGGGGTGATGTCGTTGGGCAGTTCCCCATAAACCAACCTGTTTCTTTTGCCCATGTTTCTAGCAAAACACACGTCGACGCAAAGTAGGTACCAAGTAGCATTTTTTCAATACTTAAGAAAACACATCGATTTCTTTGTCCCGGTATCATAAGCCAACTTCTTCCAAAGATCCCCAAGTAGGGATATGATAGAAGCAACAAGGCACCAATCAAGCAGGCCGCAAAAAGAGAGCATGACTTGGATGACGGTACATGTACCCCGTCATAAGCCACATTCAAACACCCTCTAAACCATGAACCTAAAGCGGAAAGCCCGCCATTTTGTGATGCTCTCCTTTAGGCCAAATAGGTTCAAGTGTTTGTTTCTTTTCCCACTTGCATGAGGCATGAGGATGCATGAGGCACATGAAAAAATATGAGCGTAGCTTCTATCTCAACTATAGATGCCTGACAAAGAGGGAACAGGCTTCCTCGATAAAATCATTCAAAAATCCTCCTCTAGCGAACTGCTAGCGCCGCCGGGCTTTTCAGGTCTTCCCCTCAACGGCGATCCTGGCCACGAACATGCGCCAGGCGGGAGCGGGCTCCGAGAGGCCTCTGAACCACTCGCCAGGGCTCGTGAGCATGTGCTCTACCACCTTGGCTAGGGCATCGTCTTCGACGACCTGAGGAGTGCTCTTGAAGGCACCCTTTATCGCCAGAACCCGCCTCTTGAACTGTGGCCCACCATACAGCGGCATCGCCTCTGTCCCGATGCAGGCCTCGTCCTGGGCCTTCTCTGCCACCAGAGCTCCCTCACTGCCATCATTGCTTCCGTCAGCGTCAAGAATCTTCTTGTCCCTGCGCCGCAATGACTCCCTGATCTCCGTTCGGAGGTTCAGCTGCTGCAGGCTCGGAGTCGGCTTGCCTGAGGATGAGCTCAAGAAGAGAATCCCCAGCTCAGGTAAGCACGCTCCGGCCGCATTCTTCGAAAAGCCGGCTACAGTACCTTCTTGAGGTTGGAGCCAGCCGAAGAGTTGCCTTTCACAGCCTTCCCCACCGAGTCCGAGAATTTGCCGGCCTTGTCGCCCAGCGACTCGCTTTTCTTCGTGCTATAGATGCAGCTTATATCATCCGACTCATATGCTCTATGTAAGTATGAGCATTTACCCCGATAATGACTCGCACATATAAACAGACCAAACATGGATAGAAATGAAGCATATGGGCTATCATGTGGGTCAATGTCAACCTGACTAATAGATACAAATAGGGGATACCCGAAAAAGTGATGAACGTAATCTGTCACTGAAAAATGGGTCCATATGGGTCCATCAACCCCAAACTTAGGATCTAAATATGTTTATTCCCCAAAGATTTGCAGATATTCCTAGTTCGATGGATACATGAAAATATGTATCAAGTTGAATAATTAAATAATCCCCCGTGATATTATATATTACTATATTATTATATATATATTATATATAATATAAATAATATATATATATATATAATTATCTATATTATATATATATTATATCAAATATTACATTATATATATATGTAGATATATATATATATATATTATTATATATTTATTATTATTACTATTATTATTATTGTTATTATCATCATTATTATTATTATGTTCATTATTATTATATATAATGTCAAGTCAGGACTAATCAACCCCTCCAGATTAATCAACCACCACTGCCCATTTTTTTTGGTAATTTAAAAACAGGTGGTCCCCCAGATTAATAAACACTTTGGCATACCCCCGATTGATAAACCACCAGTGCTGAAATCCATTTTTTTATCCAACAATTTTTATTTCCAATTCTATTTATTTTCAATTGTTTTTTACATAAAACAATCATTCTTATACTTAAGGTTTAAGTTGATCATTGAAAATTTCAAAAAACAACTATTCCCCAAATGATCGATTTCTAATTAAATTCTCTATAAAAATCATCAGTTTGGATAGCTCCGGGTACCCCCCATGAGCCCATGTCCCCCATTAATGATTATCAGGGTTTGCCCCTGATTAATCAACCACCATGTCCCTAATGTTTTTTCTTTGGATTTGCCCCTTCATTCCCAATGTCCCCCATAGCTTTCAGCCAATTGACGTAAGCCATATCCAAAATTTTATGGTTCAGAGGCCATTTATTAAGGGGTGCTTAAGGGGCGGACCTACAAGGTAGAGTTCTGACCTTCTGGGGGGGGTATTAATCCGGTGTTTGCATTATATATATATATATTATTATTATATATATATAATATGATTATTATTGTTATTATTATTGTTATTATTATTGTTATTATTGTTATTATTATTGTTATTATTATTATTTATTATTATTCATATTATTATATATATATGTAGATATATATATTATTATATATTTATTATTATTACTATTATTATTATTGTTATTATCATCATTATTATTATTATGTTCATTATTATTATATATAATGTCAAGTCAGGACTAATCAACCCCTCCAGATTAATCAACTACCACTGCCCATTTTTTTTGGTAATTTAAAAACAGGTGGTCCCCCAGATTAATAAACACTTTGGCATACCCCCGATTGATAAACCACCAGTGCTGAAATCCATTTTTTTATCCAACAATTTTTATTTCCAATTCTATTTATTTTCAATTGTTTTTTACATAAAACAATCATTCTTATACTTAAGGTTTAAGTTGATCATTGAAAATTTCAAAAAACAACTATTCCCCAAATGATCGATTTCTAATTAAATTCTTTATAAAAATCATCAGTTTGGATAGCTCCGGGTACCCCCCATGAGCCCATGTCCCCCATTAATGATTATCAGGGTTTGCCCCTGATTAATCAACCACCATGTCCCTAATGTTTTTTCTTTGGATTTGCCCCTTCATTCCCAATGTCCCCCATAGCTTTCAGCCAATTGACGTAAGCCATATCCAAAATTTTATGGTTCAGAGGCCGTTTATTAAGGGGTGCTTAAGGGGCGGACCTACAAGGTAGAGTTCTGACCTTCTGGGGGGGGTATTAATCCGGTGTTTGCATTATATATATATATTATTATAATATATATATAATATGATTATTATTGTTATTATTATTGTTATTATTATTGTTATTATTATTGTTATTATTATTATTTATTATTATTATTCTTATTATTATATATATATATTCCCATTGTTTCCGCAGCTATCCATGATTTCCCCGAACAATTCGTCAGCCCAGGCTGCCGCCGAAAAAGCCACCAAGCGGAGAGCCACGCCTCAGGGCAGTCGAAGAAGGGATGGAAACCAGAGGAACATGCTGATTGATATTGATTTGCCATCTGGCTATTTAACATAGCCATGGAAAGATCCACCATTTTTAAGTGCGGTAAACCATCTATAAATGGGCCATCTATACCATGGCTATGTTAAATAACCAGAGGGTATATCACAATGAATATGTTGGGATTTATAGCGGATGTATGAGAGCTAAGTTGGGGGTTAAAGAAAAGAACAAAACACGCGAACGGTATTTATAGCAGATGTATGAAAGCTAAGTTGGGGGCCACCTAACTCCAATAACTATGGTTTATGATACGCACATAGTTAGTGAATGGAATTTATGTTCACCAGCAAACTGGAGGGCCCCACCTTGTAGGGGTAGATCCAATAGACCTCCAAATCTGGATGGTAAGATAATTTTGTTTTGCTGCATTGCAGTGAGAGGACATTTTGTAGACAGGTTAGAGAGATTCTTCCAAAGTTATCAGGATGTCCCTTACAATTCTGATAAGATTCCATAATAATCCATAATTAATATTCATGTTTATCACCACTTCGAAAAAACATTGTAGTACTTTAGAATACTTGTGAGATGTGGTACATCTATCTTAGATGCAGCTTTAAACTAGGACAATACTAAAGTGACAAACAATAAATCTGGATAACTATGGCAAGACCTAGATTCGGCTTCCTGCAGTATTGTATGGCATGTTTCCATCGACAAAATCCATTAATTTAACCCAAGGTTTACCCCTTTGCAACGGTAGATATGGTAAATCCAACCTTGAGCCCAAAGAACCATCTTGAACCATTCAACATCTCTAAGATTGTACCCTCTGGTAATTTAACGTAGCTATTGAACATGACCATTAATAGTGGATTTTCCCATTAAAAATGGTGATTTTCAATAGCAAACTGTTAAATTACCAGAGGGTAATGTGGTTGACCACCCAGTAACCTACCAACGGTTAAACAAAGTGTTGTAACCATCACTCCAGCGGCATTGATCAAATAATGGACATGTAGTCAGCTCTTTTCGAAGCACGACATCTTGTGGAAATCTGGAAAATCCATGTGGCTATGGATCAATATCTATGAAAATACCATTTTTAGGGGAATGAACATCCATAAATCCCCGCTATTTTGATGTGAACAGAAGGGGTACTATTGGTTTTGACACACTGCCAGGTAAGTGCATTACTATTTTTTTTTAATAATACCCATGCACCCTCTTCTTATCAATAGATGGCCGAAATAATCATGAGCCCACGGAGCTTTGAATTCTTATCATTCTTATCCCACTGTTTGTTGATGCAGAATTTAACCATACCCTCTGGTAATGACCAACATAGCTAAATAATGATATAGTTGATTTACCTATTATAGTTGATTTACCTATTTAAGATTATCATTTATAGTTGATTTACCTATTATAAATGGTGATTTTCCATAGCTATGTTAACGTTTACCAGAGGGTACATGTCATACTGCACCAAGCCGAAACGTTCAGTGCATAGACAATCACCTACGGCCTCACGGTGAGCATGACATCTCCCATGTTGTTGCTTCGGTCCTCAATACCTTCATCATTCTAAATATAACCCATCTATGTAATATGTTTACATATATATATATAGATTATAATAGTATAAACATATGTAAGAATTGTGACAATATCTAATGATAATACCCTAACAATCCCTAACATAAAACTATTATTTGTTACACCCCCTAAATTCAAAACACAGAACCACATGGAATACCTTAGCCCATGACCTACGGAGCTTGGATGCCTCCATGAGCTTGACGACCGCCTCAAAGCTTGGATCTTGACGGTGTTGAGATGGCAAGTGGGCAATTTCAACATGGTTGTTGATATCCATATCATATCCATCTACTGTAAATGGTTATATACACATGTATATATAATATATAAATAAATAAAAAGTATGTATTGACATTCATATACGTATATATGATATATATATATGTACAAAGTATGTATTTACACATATGATTGTCACTATACACATACGTAATCATGTATGCACAAATACATTATTTGTACTTATGTGTTATATATATATATATATATACACTGTATATATGTGTATATATATATTTAATTATATACATAGACCAACCAAGGTTCCAATTGCCTGCCACAGATCACATACATCCCACTTTGTGTATTCATGGCCGGAAATTTGTTGTAAATATGGAGTTTCACTAGGCAAGTCATCAACTGGAGGCCTTGCCAGCCATGTTTTTTTTCCAAAAGTACACATTTGTCTTCATAAGTTTCTTTTTGAAATCCAATGATTACTTTTATGAATCCGATGTCTAAAAGTTACCAAACATCAGTAAATCTGATGCCCTCTGGTAATTTAACATAGCTATTGAAAATCACCTTTTTTAATGGGAAAACTCACTATAAATGGGACATTTTCAATAGCTAGGCTATGTTAGTCATTACCAGAGGGTAAGCAACCAAAAATTTGATAAACAGGTCAACCATCCGCCTCGAGAAACACCACCATTTTTTTGGATGTCCTGTCTCTTGGTGGAGGGGACTTGGCCCATGTTCAACCAAACTTAGGATGTAATTCCTATACAATTATTATATTGTATCCATCCATCCATCTATTCATCGATCCAGTCTATCCAGTCTATCTAGTCGTCTATCTAGTCGTCTATCTAGTCTATCTAGTCTATCTGGTCTATCCAGTCTATCCAGTCTATCTAGTCGTCTATCCAGTCTATCTAGTCGTCTATCTAGTCGTCTATCTAGTCGTCTATCTAGTCGTCTATCTAGTCGTCTATCTAGTCGTCTATCTAGTCTATCTAGTCTATCTAGTCTATCTAGTCACCTAGTCTATCTGGTCTATCTAGTCTATCTAGTCATATGTGTTTCTTTTTTTTTTAGTTGGCAATAATTTGCTAAGGATATCATATGTTTGGATCCAAACAAGAGGGTAAGCATGCTTTTTTAAGCACCCTCTACCAGCAAAGCCCGGCTCCCTGTGGATGCCCGGATGCCTTCGCACCATGGCAGGAAACGATGCCCGCACAGAGCTGATCTGATAAAACAACAACACACACTCATATATATATATATATTATATATATATGTATATATATATATGTATGTGTATATGTATATGTATATGTATATGATATATATATATATAAAACACCAGAACAGCAAAAACTCCTAAAGAATAATCGCAACTTGACCACCAGAAATAGGGATGATAGTCTTGGATGTCTTGGATATCCCTGACACTACAGTATCAGTTTATGAACTAAAGTAAAACCCAATCAGCCGCAACATCGACATTATGTGTGAGTTGGTCCAAAAATTGGGACCCCCAAAAGCAGTGGTAGTTTCCAGGTGTTAAACAAGAGCATGATGGAGACAAAGTTTCCAAGTGAACGCTTGGATTTTGGACAGGTGATCGATCCTGCCACGGAGCCCCCGTCCCCCGTTTGACGTGGGCTTGGCGGTTGTTGAGCCGAAAGGAACACACAAAAATTATGGTTAGTTTCAGATACCATGTCACACAAAAATAACATAGGGGCAAGTACTTAGATGGGCCATGGGATTTGTCAACTGTTTAGTGGGCTATAACTCATGAAAAAAAATCCAGCTACTAACCACTCAACTGATCCTAACGTCCACCCAAGTAATTAGTACGATATCCGCCCGTAGCCGACACAACAGCCATGAAACTGCCCGGTTCAGCCATTGCTCCTGCACTGCCCTGGTGAGATCGGCCAGGCTCTTGACCTACTCAAGGTTTCCCGACTATATCTATTTTGCTGACAGACACGCTTCCGTCTTGTTGGTTCAATCAATCTCAATGTTTGTTGATACAATTCACATTGTCTTGCTGAAATCCCTTAGAACTCAGAACGGTGTAGCAGCTAAGTGCCCAAATCATCCGTACGGTTTTTGTTGCTGAACTCCCAATGTAATCGATGCATCTTTCTCAATGGGATAACTTCACACCCAGTACATGGGAAAGATTATTTACCACATCTGTATATATATGTATATATATATATATATAATATGATACCTTGTTGATGATTATGATGATTATATATATATACAATGCATTTCACTGTGTTTTCTCAATTTCTAATCATGGATACCTTGTTGATGATTATTGTCCACCATCGATGGCCTTTTTCAGCAAGTTACATGTGATGGCCATTGTGAAGGCCTATAGCATTCTTCGTCCGATCATCCAATTCTTAAAATATGGTTATTTAACATAGCCATGGAAAATCCCTAATAAATGGAGGGTTTAATGGCAACATCATCTATAAATGGGCCATCTATACCATGGCTATGTTAGTCATAACCAGATGGTAAATCCCCAATTGAATTCCCGAGATCCAATATGTAAAAGCTGGCTGATGCGAAGTTGCTGAGCTGGATGGTTGAATCGAAAACACTGTGAAAACATCCATTCCCAACCAAAACTACTGCCAAGCAAATTCCCAGAGATATGCCCATTTAAATTATGGTACAAGACTTATACACATGTTTTGGTCCTTCCAAATATGTCATGTTCTATTTTGTCACCATATATTCAACATTGAGATGATGATTCCTGGAGATATATCCAACATGTTTCTATATCTAATACACAATATCATATCATGTAATACTTGACTATTGGGTATCTAGTATCTATATATTGTGATACATAATTGGCTCATATTGGCTCCACAATCTCCCCGTGTCTTCTTCCCCTCCAGCAGTAGCTCCTTCTTCCTTTTTTTTTTCTGCTAGCGGCGCTTTGCTGGTCCAGTGCGCGGACGCGCATCACCTCCTGCCTCGATGAAGCGAGAGCTGGGGATGGGAAGGGCATGGGAACAGGTGGAAAAACATGGAAAAAGGAAAAAAAACACATCGCCATCCAAGCTTCTCTTCAAAAATATGTTAATGAAGAAATGAATCACAACATGGATTTCAATGGATCTGGCCATCAACAAATAATCAGGAATAGGAAGTGGGATGTTTACCACTTAAAAGCGAGACTTACCAATCAACCAGAGGGATTTCTACCAAAATGTCATGAAAACATGGCAACGGCCAGGATTTGATCACCACGGTATACCCTCTGGTAAACGTTTACATAGCTATAGAAAATTAGCATTTTGAATAGGTAAATCAACTATAAATGGCCATTTTCAATAGCAAACTGTGACAAATTACCAGAGGGTATATGGTTTCTGTGGTCATCCGTTGATGGTCATTCCATTGGACTGCTGGGTGAAATGGAAAGTTCATAAAGGATGATGATTGCCACCAGTACCCGGCCTGGTAAAATGTCACATAACGAACTGGAAAGATCCACCATGTTTTAATGGGAAAACTCACTATAACTGGTAATTTTCAATAGCGATTTGACAAATTACCAGAGGGTATATGACAGCATATGGTAGTATAATCCCTTGTAAGAATCATCCAAGAAGGGTCGACCGGAACATTGCTCAGCCATTCAATGCCAATGCCAATGACCCTTGAATCACCTAAAACGGCTGTAAACTGATGGTTTGGCTATTACCATCGGGCGATTTAACATAATTTAACATGGAAGCAGCTGCTATCCAACAAAAGGGAAAAAACATTCTTGGAAGGAAAACAACTGCACAGAATGGGAAACCACAGCCTCATGCGGCACTGTAACTTAACATAATTTGACATAACTATAGAAGATCATCATGTTTAATGGGGAGTCATCATCGAACTAGCCATGGACCATTGCTTCCATGGCTATGTTCAATAAGAGGCTAAATCCCATTACATCCCATATCACCCCATCAATTCATAGTATAAATCCTATTGAATCCCATCAAATCATAGTATCTAAATCCACAAATATATATATATATATATTTGAGTAGTATATATCCCATTATCAAATCACTTTATCCAATGAAATGAAATCGCATAAGGTAGTAATAAATCCTATCATAGTATATAAATCCCATAAGATAGTATTTGTTGATAAATCCCATTAAATCCTATCATAGTATATAAATTTCATAGTACATCACATCTAAAACAACCAGGGGCAATCTTGGGTGAAGCGACCACAGCTCGTCTTCTTGCTGCTGCATCACATTCTTCACCACCTCAAATGGCGGTTTCATTGACGTACAAAAAAAACATATGTCTTTGATTCTTGTTTGGATATTTTATATACATATATATGGAAATATGGTGTAGAAATATGGTGTTTACACTTGACATATCCTTATATATGGTTTCTTACATTCTATTGTCCAAGGATATTGGCAGTGTTTGATGGTTGCTGCATGATTTCAGGAAAAAAAGCGGATATTTTTGGAATATGTTTGAACGGCGTATCCAACAAACATGGAATAATAAAGCAAGAACAAAATGTCGGGCCTCATGATTTACTGGGGGCAATCCAAATATCTATTGTATACATATATATATACTAGATACATCTAGATACCCTTCAGAAAATGATTTGTAGCAAAATGAGTTCATCTGTCAATTGACCAAACCAATGATCATTCATTGACTGAGCAAGGAACACATTCAAATTCAAGCCATGAAATGTCATGAACAGCTTGGATTTCAAACGTCTTCAGGGAAATGAGGCAACCAAAAAAAAGTCGCGAATGTAACCAATCATCAAGCAAAAATAAGAACTTCCCAACCTGAATCATACTGAATTCAGAAAAAACAAATGTGGCAAGTGACGGCAAGTGTGGTCATGATGCCATTTCTGGGTTCTCCTATCCTATATCCTTCTCCCCCTAAATCAAAACAACATCGATTGTCACAGGGGTTAGAACATGTCCTAATTGTTCAGCAATTATTGGGGAAATGTCATCTCCAGCAGGGGCATAGGGAATGGTATGGGTTAAAGTTGGGAAATTATCATATAATAATTACTGAATTGTTTATACTAAACATAGACATTCCAATCTGTGGTGAGGTCTTAAATTTTGACGCATTCCAATTCCTGTCGCATTCCCATTTCTTAGTGATGTTCAAAATTCCACAGGACATTTACTAAAACCCTTGTCGTCAGGTATCACCGGACCATCACAAGGACCTCTGCATGTGGCTTGTCCAACAGCTGAAGCACAGCCTCAGAAGCATCCAAGAGAGCATATTGTGAGGCTTTAACCCTCTAAAAATGTAGATTTCAGCATCAAACCTTGGGGATGTAATATGATTAAACCATCCAAAGGATCCCAATACTGATCAAAATTGGGATGGAAAATGTAGATTTCCATCATCACCCCGCTCCTTGGGTACATGGAAGACGCAAACATTGGTTTTTGACAGAAAAAACATATCATCTGGGTAAATTATAATAATTCACTAACCTGAATTAAGGCCATTTGCGGATGATTTCCCTTATTAACTACCATGATTCCAGTGAGGTCGCAGTGAGGTCGTTATAATTTATCACATATTATCCAACACGATGTAAAAACTATATATGTCATTTCTGTAATTGTCTGTAAACATACAAAAAATGGACAATCTCCTGTAGTGTTCAATCCGAGAGGGAATACATTTCGCACGCGAGGACTCCATCCTGGGAAAAAAAAGGTTTCCCCATTATAGTATAGTATAGTTCCCAGTATATGGCACTACAGTACTTCCCCCAAGTACTTAGCTCCCATTTAAACGTTTCAAGTTTTAAGCAAAAATGACCCAAATTTGGTTGTGCTATGTTGTGCTACTCTTTCTTCTTGCAGGTACTTTCAGCTTTTCCATTTTGGAAGATCAAAAAGCTGGCAGACGCCGCTTACGGGGAACACTTAACCCCCCTTTTTGCCCGGGGCGACAGCGGCGTCGGATCCAAATCGACTCAACTCTTTCACGTCCAAGGCCTGGAAATGTTCAGATGATCCATGATGAACCCGTTGGCATATCATGACATGATTAATGTTTCTCTTGGTTTAATATTCATATCATTATAATGTTTTACATATCATTATATATTAACAATGTTCCGAGATATCCGACTTCTCTTGGTTTAGACTTCTCTTGGTTTAATGATTAACTTTAATGTT